AAGATAACTGCTCTCAGTTGTTGATTTTACTTTTGTTTTTTGGCAGGCGTGGAGTCGGGTGGCCTTGTGTGGCGAGCCAGGGCTGCTCTGTCCCACAGAGGTGAGACGCTGAAGCCTGGGCTGTCTCTGGGCAGTGACCTCCTCTCAGCCACTTAAATAGAGAAGAGACTAGAGAGATAAAGATCAGTTTCTAGGCTGGCCTAGCTGGAAGACAACGTCTTTATGAGGGTGTTCTGCTCCAATGCTTCTCTTAGAGCCACCCTGGTGGCACGGTGAGAAGTTCAGGAGTGAAGAAAGAGTGTAGAATCCTTGAAATGGGGAATCTTTTGAGGTTGACCCAAACTTGAGACGTGTGGAAGCTCCTGGGGAGCCATGGAGCTCAGAGAGTTGTCCCAGAATGGCCATCAGAGGTGGAGACATCGGTGGGACAGAGCCAAGACCTTCCCTGCTCTGCAGATCCGGGGCTGAGGGAGCAGTGAGCCTCGGCGGGATCTAAATCCGCCTTTTTGCGATCATTTTCATCTCCTTGGCCTGGCTCCAAAGGAGGTGTGTTGGGGTTTTTTTTGCTTTCCTACAAGAGTTTGAAGCTCCGCTCCGTGCTAGGTGAGTGCTTGTCTTGCCTCCTCCCAGATGTTAGAGGAATATAGATGCGACCTCAATGGATTTAAAGTCTCTAAATCTGCTTAAAATAGGAGCTTCTGGGTGGGGACAAACATTTGCAGTTTTCTGTTAGGAAGTTCCTCACTAGCAGAAAATACTGGAAAAATTGGGGGAGGCTTAGGAGGAGCTGAGGGGTGAATTCTAGTGGAAAATATAAGAATGCTTAAAACATCCATAAAATAATTTTAGTAAAGCTATGATGCTCTGAAGATTCATCATCTTAAGATTACGTACATGCTTTGAGTATAAAATTGAATGTGGAGGTGATTAAATTCAGGTATTTCTGGGGTATGAGAGGACCAGGAGTGGTTGTAACTTGTTCAGTGCCCATCGTTAGTCTTTGCTTGTCCAGAAATTTGAGATCTGCTCCATGCGGTCGGTTTAGTCGGGAGAGAAACCATCACCTGAAATCCTGGGATGCTGCAGGATGGGTGTTTCTTTCCTTTAGCAAACATAGAAATGCTGGGGTTTGTGATTTTTTTATTTTTTATTTTTTATTTTTTTCTCCATACATAAATGTCTCTTTCTGAAGAGCAGGTGACCAGGCATTTTGTACAATACCTTGAATTTCACTAAATCAATATTAAAAAGTCAGGATCTGCTGGAAAAAGTGAAATTTTAAAGAAAACAGTGATGAAATTATAAATGCCAGCCTTCTTGATTGGCATTTGGCATTGGTAACTGTTTTCAGATACCACATGAATTGTTTGCTGGTATTGCAGGTTTATTTTTTTTCCTTGATCTTAGCCTTTCTTTAGAGAAAACTCCTTATTTTCACTGGTTTTAGAGTTTTTATGACATCTTCTACACCCCGTACGCTTCAAGTCTTGACTTAAATTCACACATGAATCAGGATTGAAATAATTTTCCCCCCAAGTTAACGTGATTCCCAGCCTGGAAGTGGTACCTGCTCGTTCAGATTTATCCTGATGGGGGTCAAAAACCAGCAAAGATTGGTAACCTAAACCTTGTAAATCACCAATTTTTAGTTTATAGTTGCAAACCTCACTAGGAAATCTGACATCTTTCTCCTCATAAGTGCTGTTCTTGGGGGGTTTAACTGCTGGGACAGTACAGAGGATGAGGGAGAAAACTTCATTAAACAAGTCAGAAAACTTAAATTACTGGTGCTACAGTGGTCAAATCGTGTAGAGTTTTAGAAGACTGAAAAATTGATTTTTTTTTTTCAATACTTTTGCTGTGGGAGTGTTTTTGTAGGAAAATTGTGAGTTCTGCTGCTGAAGGAGGAGTTGCTCCTTTCCACCCCCTTCCAAAGGAAATTTAAAAGCCACTGAACACACAATTAAACCCTACTTTTTACGAATGTATGTATTATTTATTTCTGTGTATCTTAACTACTTTAAAATACATTTTTTTTTAATGCAAATGGCTTCTTCCTCCAAGCTGCCGAGTTTGATTATTGGGAACCAGAGATGAAAGCAAGTCCCTTCTGCATCTGTTCAAGGCTGTGGCTGTTGCTAGCTGGGGGGGGGAAGAATAGTATTTGCAAAGAAAAAACAACCTGTATTTGAGATTTAATCTAGTTTGTGTTATCAGATAACGTGATTAGTGATATCACTGTAATTGGTGGCGTCCATGGAGCAGGTCTGTTAATGGAGATACTTGTGAAAGAGCAGTGCTAACGGAGTTTGGGGGTTTATAGAATCACAGACTGGTTTGGTTTGGAGGGACCTTAAAGATCATTTAGTCTCACCCCCCCTGCCATGGGCAGGGCCACCTTCCACCAGCCCAGGTTGCCCAAAGCCCCGTCCAACCTGGCCTTGAACCCTCCTTCCAGGGAGGGGGCAGCCACAGCTGCTCTGGGCACCCTGTGCCAGGGCCTCACCCCCCTCCCAGGGGAGAATTTCTTCCTGGGATCAGATCTAATCTCCCCTCTTTCAGTTAAAACCATCACCCCTCATCCTATCCCTACACCCCTGAGCAGGAGTCCCTCCCCCCATTCCCGCAGCCCCTTTCAGCCCTGGGGGGCCGCTCTAAGGTCTCCCTGGATCCTTCTCTTCTCCAGCTGACCCCCTCAACTCTCCCAGCCTGTCCTCACAGGGGGGCTCCAGCCCCCCCAGCATCTCTGTGGCCTCCTCTGGCCCCGCTCGAGCAGGTCCGTGTCCTTCTGCTGTTGGTGCCCCCAGAGCCAGACCCAGCCCTGCTGGGGGGTCTCACAGAGCGGAGCAGAGGGGGAGAATCCCCCCCCTCGCCCTGTGCCCACCCTGCTCTGGGTGCAGCCCAGCACATGGGGCCTTCCTGGGCTGTGGGTGCACGTTGCTGGCTCACAGGCAGTTTTCCACCCACCAACACCCCCAAGTCCTCCTCCTTGGGGCTGCTCTCCAGCCACTCCTCACCCAGCCTGGATTTGTGCTTGGGATTGCCCCAACCCATGGGCAGGACCTTGACCTTGGCCAGGTAGGTGACATCAGTTGCTATTACAATCACTAATAAAAACCAAAAGTGGCCAAAACAGACCACAAGTTGTATCAGAAAATGCAGGTGGGCAGAAGCTCACAACCCTGCTGGGTGATTGAAGCTTTTGGTGGATTTTCCTGCCTTCAGGGAGGTGCTGGATCGTCTTCAAGAAGAAATAGTATTGGGAGTATTTAATGAGCTTGGGTACAGGGTTTGGTCTGTGTTTTATCCCCCGAGTAACCCAGGTGTAGTCTTTGGTCTGTGTTTTATCCCCCGAGTAGCCTGGGTGCAAGGTTTGGGCTGTGTTTTATGCTCTGAGTAACTCGGGTGCAAGGTTTTAGCCCATGTTCTGTCTTCTGAGTAGCCAAAGTGCAGAGTTTGGTCTGTGTTTTATCCTCTTGAGTAGCCCGAGTGCGGAATTTGGTCCATGTTTTATCCCCCAAGTAGCCCGAGTGCAAGGTTTGGTCTGTGTTTTATCCTCCGAGGATCTTGGGTGTGGGTTTTAGCCCATATTCTGTCTTCTGAGTAGCCAAAGTGCAGAGTTTGGTCTGTGTTTTATCCTCTGAGTAGCCCGAGTGCAGAGTTTGGTCTGTGTTTTAACCCCTGAGTAGCCTGAGTGCAAGGTTTGGGCTGTGTTTTATCCTCTGAGTAGCTTGAGTGCAGGTTTTGGCCCATGTTCTGTCCTCTCAGTATCCTGATTGCAGTTGGTCTGTGTTTTATCCTCTGAGCTGCTTTGGTGTCCACCTTCCTCCAGGATGGGCTTTGTTAGGAAGCCAAACTGTCAGCAAACACTGAGTAAAGTGTATGACACTCATAAGATCAGCTTAACCTCTGGAAAACCAGCACTAAAATGTCAATTAAAACCTGGTGGTAATTGCTGTGGTGTGACAAAGCCCTGAGCAACCTGTTTGAATGTCTGAAGTCGGTCCCGCTGTGAGCAGGAGACCTCCAGACATCCCTTTCAACCTTCTGTATTTCTCACCTGAGGGCAGGTGAGTCTGAGCTAAATTTTCCATGCCTGCTTGCTAGAGCTAAGCTTAAAGTTAGTCAGAGCTGTTAACCTGGTCCTTTGGCCTCTTGTGCTGAATTCCCTTTGCTGAGGGAACAAACATCGCATCTCCTATATCCCTTTAGGGTCTGTCCTATGCCGGAAAATTAATGATTTTTTTTTTAATAGTTTAATTTATTTATTGGTTCTAAGACGAGCTGGTCCTGAGGTGTGGTGGTGGGTATTTCACGAGCACAAGCGATGTTAAAAAGTCGTTGGTTGTGGTTATGAGCATCTTCCTAGAGAGAATTTTTTGTCGTAAAAGCTTAAATCTTGTGTTTGGTGATTTTTATTTTTTTATCAAGTAGTTTCTGTGAAAAGCCAGAGCGTGAGCGATTGCTGCTCTCGTGCTTGGGGCTGTGGATGGGTTTGAGACCTCTTGTAAGATGCTAAACCAGGCTTTGAGATGTCTAAAGCTGGGCAGCAGACCCAGGCGTAGAGTTAAACTCAGGTCTTGGAACTGGCTTAACCAAGTCCTGGAAAGGACTTTCTGGGTTAGAAAGAGCGGGTTTGGGGTTCGGGGTTTTTTGGTTTGGGGAAAGGTTCCCGCGAGGGAGCGGAGCTGTGCTTGTTGAAGCTCTCAAGAAGAGGTCTGTTGGGTTGGTGAGCTCAGATTAAATAATTTTTCTCAGTATATTTAAATTCCAAGGTGAGCACGCTGGGGTCTGGACCATTGTTTTGGATCCCTTCACCCATCCACATCTGCCTTACAATGTTTTTCATCCTCGTAGCTTCCTGGTTTTCTGACTCAAACATATCATTTCCTACAAATAAAATTAAGAATTTGGAGGAAAAAAAAAAAGGCAAAGGATGAAAGTTAGAGATTTTTTTTTTGCTGTAATTCTGATTTAATGGGCGTTTCTTTTCCTTACAGATCTTTCTTTCAATAGTAGCTTCGAAAATGAAGGTCAGAGGGTTCAGCTGGTGAAGAAGAACCGAACACCTCAAAGGGTCAACTCTGATTTCAGGTAATTATCCTGAATTTTACTCCTGTGCTAAGTGCATGATTTATGAGGTGTGGCTTGTTTCCAGCATTTTGGGGCAGTAATGTCTGGGGGGGGGATTTAGGAGGTGATATAAAGCCAGGCTGCAGGAATTAATTCCAGCTGGGGATGAGCTGTGCTCGTTGTCTTCTTGAGTGCTTTGGATTGAGCAAATCCTGTACGAGCTGCAGCAAACGTGTCCCTGGATTTGCTGGATTTACCACTAGGAGTTTGCCGGTGTGAATGGGTAGAGACCAGCTTAAACAAACCTTCACCTTCGTTCAGGCTGGATCAAACTTAATTGTCGTGATAATTCATTAGATGCAGAATTTAAATCTGCTTTACCAAAGGAGTTGATTCCAGCAGGAAAAAAAAAAAAAAAAAGAAGAGGCAGAAATGGCAGAGAGCTGAGGCGAGAGCACAGAGTCAGAGAGAGGCCTGTCACGTGTGAAATAATTCAGAGTTTTCTGTATCTTGGTGTATTTCTCTGGCATTTCAGAATATCAGACACGAGGTTTTTGTCCCCCTTCAGACACACACAGCTGTATCTCCCATTCCCCTTGTCCAACACTTTTGAGCAGGACCACGTGGTCTCCTCAGGGCTGTCACCAAGTTGGAATTTGGCCACTTGCAGCTCAGTTTGGGTGGTTTTGAGACCCTTTTCCATCTCAGCCACCCATCAGAGCTGCCTTCTCTCAGGGGTTTATATTCCATCCAGCTCAGGAAAACAGGACACAACTGTGACAATTTTTGGTGTCTCTACCCAGAACTCGCTTTTCTAAGTGTTGTTTTTTTTCTGTTCGTTTGCTCTAAAAGGCTTGGCAGTAAACAGGGAAAATCACCCCAAATCCACAGTCTTTTTTTTTTTTCATGGTTTCATTTAGTACTTTATTTGGTTGGCTTTGTGACACCTGAATATTTTGGGAAGATGGATATTTATTATCTCCAATAATTTATTATCTCTCCTACTACTAATAATCTCCAAGGTGTGTATGGTTACGGACATAGCCTAGACACGATGAGAAATTGGATTTTTAAAGTCTCAGGTGGGAAGGGCTGTATTTTAAATATCCAGCCACTCTAGGAATGTCTTGACCTTGAGGATTTTTTTGTTGGTGGACAGCAAGAAGCAAAAAGGGGGGGAGGGGGAACCCAAAACTTCATTTTTCCAGGAAAAAAGCGGTTCTTGCAAGCGTTAGGCTGGTGCAGAGAGTGGGCGTCAAAGCTTTTCTGTCCTCAAACTTCAAGGGTGGAAATAGCCTCACGCTCAGGTTGTACTTGTAGATCCTTAAATCTGGCACTGTAGTTGAAAACTGATAGTAGAATGGGTTAAAAAAAAAGTCATTTTTCTGACTTAGACTAGATAAACTTCTCTTCAGCAACTCTGAGTTGTGTGGTCACCTGCCCCCAGGCTCTGCCATCTTCTCCATCCGCCTTGGTGCACCAGGTGCTCTGGGGACTGAGTTTGGGATAACAAGGTTGGGTGCTGCTGTCTTGAAATAGATAACTGGGGGGAGGCTCAGACTTGGTGAGTTAACTACGGATAACCAGCAGCCAACTAGTTTAGACATTACGCACAGGGCAGCTACGCTGAGATGTGCCAGGGTGTGAATCTGTGTCCCCAGGCACTGTCCGTCAGCCGTGACGGGAGCTGGTGGCACTTTGGGATGTGCTGGCAGGTGAGAACACGGTGCCAGGCTCGGGTGGTGTCGTGGGGGGGGCTCTAAATTCACCCCTCTAGATCTAGGGGTGTTAGACAGCAGCCCTGTCACTCGGTGATGTTGGGGATGTCCTTGTTGGTCCCTTTAGGGTTCTGGGGGTTGACCTTGGCCAGACACTCTCAATTTCTCCACCTCTCCCTCTTCTCCTCGTGCTCTTTTGCTCCAGCGTGGGGGCTCACCCACAGGAGACAGGCCTCCACAAACTGATCCACTGTATGTTCCCCACGAGGTCACAGCTTCCTTTGGGGCACATCCACCTGCTCCGGCACGGGGTCCTCCACAGCCTGCAGGGGGGGATGTCTGCTCCCCCATGGGCCTCCATGGGCTTGCAGAGGGGACAACCTGCTCCACTGTGGACCACCACGGGCTGCAGGGTGACGTCTGCTGCCTGGTGGACCTCCATGGGCTTGCAGAGGGGACAACCTGCTCCCCCATGGACCTCGATAGGCTTGCAGCGGGCATGATCTAGTTCCCCGTGGACCTCCACGGAGGGCAGAGTGGGTGTTTTCTACCCTGTGGACCTCCATGAGGTGCAGGAGGCACAACCTGCTCCCCTGTGGACCTCTGTGGGGTTGTACAGGAGACAGTCTGCTGCCACACGGACCTCCATGGGCTTGTAGAGGGGACAGCCTGCTCCCCCATGGACTTTCACGGGCTGCAGGGGGCACAGCCTAGTTCCCTGTGGACCTCCACAGGCTGGAGAGTGGATGTCTGCTCCCCCGTGGGCCCCCATGGGCTTGCAGGGGGCACAGCCTGCTCCCCCTGGGCCTCTGATGTGGTGCCAGGCTTGCAGGAGGGTGGGTCAGTGATGGGCTTGGACGGTGTCATGGTGGGGGGGACTTAAATTCCCCCTTTTAGATCTTGGACAGAGGCCCCATCCCTTGGTGGTGCTGGGGATATCCCTACTGATCCCACGGGATGGGCTCAGTTTAGGGTTAAGGCAGTGGCTCTTCATCCCTTAAGTCTAGCTTAACGTTTGATAGCAAATAGTTCTGGTATAAATCACCCTTTAAAGTGTGGGTTTTTTTCTTTCTGGGATCATTCATTTTTCAGCAGAAAAGGAGCTGGCCCAGCGTTATCTTGGAAGCTGCACGTGGGTGCAAAGAGGATTTATTTGAGTTGTAAACTTAAAACATACAACTGTGCTGAGCCAGGGGAGAAAAGCCGATAAAATATTCACCGAGAATTTTGTGTCACTGCTTTAAAACTGGGAGCCTGAACCAAATATGAGCTGCTTTAAGTTTCAGATAATTTATGTGCCAGTTTATACACCCATTATCCATAAAGATCTGCGGTAAAATAATGTGTAAGACCCTAATTTCTACCCAAAACCACCTCTGGGTGTCTCCTGCTGCTTAATCTGTCCAACCTAACTTTCTAATCAATAGTTCTGTAATAATATTGGAGGATGGTAATCAATAAAAGTTGTTTGCTCTCTGCTCTTTGAAATACAGCAAAATCTTTACAGCGTGAATGGTTGTTGCGACGGGGACTTACTCACTGTGAAGCTGTGATGTAGAACCACGTGTTCTGTGTCTTTTTAAGGTTTTATCAACTTAAAACTGCTCAAATTCTGCTTTAACATTGCGGTTTTTTCCTTTGAGCCTTGGAAAAACAAGCCTAAAAATAGCCTCTCCCCACAAAAAAATAGTAGGGACAATGGAATAAACTGAACGGAAGATGTTTTTCTTGCTATCTGAGCTGTGGGGATGTCCCCAAAAGCAGAGGGAATCCCCGTGGTTTAAGGCAGAAAAATAAATAAAACTCTTCTGGCGTGGAAACTTGATGGATTTAGGGTGTGGGGGGGACTGAAGTGCTGGTAGAATCTGACCCCGACACATCCTGTGGGGCACAAAAAGGCACCAGTGGAGCTAAAACCAGCCTGGAAACACTGGGATAACGTCCACAGGGGTAGAGGGGGGTTAAAAAAAAAAATAAAAATCCACGGATAGAGGGGGGGCGTAAAAAAAAAAAAAGCCATCCCAGGTAGGTGCAGAGGTCAGCGTCCGCAGCAGCGAGGATTAGGGCTGCTGATGGCAGCGGGAGGCCTGGCCCTGCTCCAGACAAAGCTGTCTGGCTGGTGGTGGGACTGTCCCCGTGCCCCGGCTGCCCGAATTGGTCGGGTGGAAACACAAAAATCCCCTTTGCGCTCCCTCCCCCACACCGATTGCGGCCCGGGAACGGAGACGGGCGACTGTCCGTAGAGCCGAGGGGCCACCGAGCTGCCAGTGGATCCCAAATAGCCACCACAGGCTGCCAGGGGTCCCATTTCGTCAGGAAACGGTTAAAAAATGAAGCAGAAATCAAACTGCAGAGAGCTCAGAGGTGGGAAGCGAGGTGGCGGGGTAAGGGTTGCAAATTGTCTTTCTTGGGATGTAAATAAATTCACTTAGAGCAGAAAGAAACGGCGATAAGAAACCAGGAATGGTGACGCCGTGCAGTCACACGGCTGCTCCGAGGGAGTTTCTGTGAGAGCCTGGTGAGAACGCGGCCACGCTACGGAGGAGTTGGAGCCTTTGACCTTGGATTGCCAGGGGTGAAACGTCCCATTTCTTGCAGAAATTGCTGTAAATGGCGATAGCTCAAGGTCTGCGGGGAGGCTGCGTCCCCTACGCCTCGTAGTAGGCGCCCAACCTACAGATCTCATGAGAGATTTCAGAGATAATTTACTTTTTGAATACTCGGCATCCTATTTCGGAATTTTTTTGTGCTGTTTCATGAAATAATTTTGAGTAGAAATAGCTCTGAAATTACCAGAGGAAGGAGAGCTGCAGCGGTTTGGCCAGGAGAGCAAAGTGAGGAAGGAGAGCGGCAGCGGTTTGACCAGGAGAGCAAAGCGGCAGGAGGAAAACAAAAAGAGTTTAAGGCAAGACTAAAATATATGTGTTTATTAATCAGTATTTTAAAAAAACACCTATTTCTAAACCTTAATATATAAAGGAAGAGGTCAAGGTGGGGTTTTTCTCTCTTCTTTTATACACCAATGTCTTCACTGCTTCCAGCATCTCTTATTTTTGGAGGAATTGCACTAAAACCGTGAGTGTCTGAGGGTAAAATACTTCTAAATCTGGTCTGTGCTGATGGAGACGCCGGTCCTGGGGCTTCCCTCGGTCCACTGCAGCACCCACCCTGTTCTCATGTCCCCAAAGATGTTTCCGCAGGGCCGGGGCTTGTGCTGCGAGTACCTGGCAGCACACAAGGATCTTTTTTCACCCTCATGTCTGGGAATTTAGAGACGAGATGTCTTGGATAAATCAACCAAGA